TTGCCAAACACATACTGCTGAGCATGCATTCTCAAAGCAAAGTGCACATAAATATATATATATATATATATATATATATATATATTAAATCAATTGTAATAGAAACACAGGCAAATGGATATTTGGAGTATAAATAAGTAGTGATTGAAGATTACAGATGAAAACATAGTAGGCTGTGGTTTTGTTGTTATGATTATGATTTATTTCCATAACTCAACAAGGGTAATAAATTTTCCACTATTCCTAGATAATCTCCATCAGTTCCTATTGGCTGAATGAACATGAAAAAGCATTAGTACATTAGTTTGAAATCCACAGACACAAACATTGAATAATAAAAAAAATCATGAATAAAATGAATAAAAAAAATCAAAAATGGATTAATTGTGATGGCTTGCTTAACATGGTAAATGAAGAGAAAACTTTAAAAAAAAACAAAAAACAAAAAAAAAACCTCAGCTATAAAATTCCAAAAGAACTGAGAAGAGAACAGTGTGTCAAATTTATTTCATCCTGCTAAGCAGATGAGCTAAAAGCAGAATCTCAAAGTCCCACTGGGTTTCAGAAGCACAGCTGCAAATGCCAGCTTTGTTAATTTCTCTTTCAAGTGCAGATTCAGCTATGCATTTATATGTCCATCCTCTCAGATCAGATTATGTAATTAATTCTGGCCTTTGCTGTGTCTATTTAATGTGCATATGCCATTTTATTCCAGCATGCGCTACAGAGAATAGTGGTAATGGATGATTTTATCATTAATGATATCTAATGCTATTACTTTTGGAATATCTGTTTTTTTTTTTTTTTTTAGCAATGCCACAAAAGTAAGAATTAAATGAATAATCTACATTAACTATGTTTATACTGAAATCTTTGTAATGTGCTTAGTGAGTGGTACTAATTTGTTGGTTGGTGCTTTATCTTCTGTTATTCTTGTGAGAAGTTTGCGGTTATTACAATGGCATTTAATAGGAAACAAAAATTCAATAATCTCAAACATAAGGGTTAACAGTCAAGTTTCATTGTTAGCCCCTAAAAACACTCAGAAACATTCAATGTCAGGTTAATGATAAATCCAACATAGAAGGACTCAAAATTCCAACATGCAATGCAGCTATACGATGCAGTTGCACTGAGTTATGGCAGAGACTCGGCTCGGCTAGTTAGCGATCTACGAGATGACAAGCAAAGTGGTGTTGATGGTGGTATTAACATGATTTTTGAAGCTTTGGAAAACTTTGTGCTTGAGGCAGAGTGTACAGATGAAGAGGTGGGAGAGCTGGACAGACCAAATTACTAAAGGGCTGCTGCTCCTTCTCTTTAGTGGTTTGTGAACTAGAGGTTTGGAAAATGTAAATATTCATTGTTTCTCTAGTAATTTTATGAACAAATACACTCTAAGTGGCCATATAAATATATATCTTGGGTGGACTGTCATCTTGGTAATATTCTTGGAGCAACTTCTTGGATATTTGAGTATGATATTCACTGAGGTCAGACTGCCACTGGCAACGTTTTCCCTTTTCATCATTTTCACCTTTTCAAGATGGAATTCTAAAGATCTGATTTGGCCTGTAGCCTTAATGCCTGATTACTCTCATGTGATACACAAAGATCTGAAAAGGCTTCGATGAGCTGTGAGGAAAAGCTCAAACTGACTCCTAATTCAATTGTGATGAAAGAAAGCCTTGTTTTGCAGTTTTCTTCATTGTTGGAGCTTGATGCATAACTGTACTGGCCATTACAGCTAGACCAGTGCACTTAAATCTGAATACCTCTCTCAGCCCAGATAGACATAAGATGCCACAGACATGATGAAGACTTCAATGAGATGAATGATGGCCTCTTTTTACTGCTGAGTCAGAATTTATGGCTGTGCTGTGCTGTGATCTAGCGTTGGCTAATGGCTGGAGCCTTATGGTCTCCTCATAGCTGTTGTAAACACAGCAATGTTTATATGAGATGATGCAAGCTGTGCTTGAAACTGCAGCATGCAAAAACAGACACATTCAAAAAGAAACATGTGAAGCTAGCATTGGTTATCTTCATGTGTATAGTCAGTAAAGTTTTGGCTCTATAGTCCTTCTCTACAGTAAAAGTAAGTCAATATGGCTGAACCAGCATTATAGCCTTAAAGAAATTTTATCTCTTTTTCGAGGAGCATCAGTTCTTCAAGGAGCATCAGTTCATCAGTTCTTTGTCATTGGTGCATTCTGAATCCCATCACCTGCTGCACTACACACATCGGCAGAGGCAATCTGGTTGACGGTAGAACAATTTTTCTAGGTGGATTGATTATCATGAACAGATGACAGCTGATCTTTCCTGAATCAACACATATGTATGTGGACATTGACAAAACCGAGCAAAATAGTGTAGCACAAAGTCGTCATATAACTCTTCTGTTAGCACAATACATATATTACATCGCAGTGCAACAGTGTCAAATATTTTAAGTTGTGGTGCAAGGAGAGAACACATCTCATAACTAAAACGTTTGCCAATGAACTTTCTGTTGACATTACACACACAACATCAAAACATCAACAGCTTTATCAGGAGAGGATAAGGACTATGGCTACTCGGTCATTTCCCTTAGTCTTTATTAATGCACGTAACTACCTAACTATTATTACATTAGTAAATTAGTTTTTCAGGAAAACAAAACATGGGCTGGGGAGCACATTGGAGCTTTCTTTTGCCCAGGAGGCTAGCTAATGATGGAATCAGCTGTCCATCCCTGTACAAGATACTAAGAATATCCTGGATTAATGCAGAATTTCATACACTGACCTACCCAACAGTTGCACTCTACCATTCTCAGCTCCAGCTGAACAACTGAACTTAAATTCACCTGACTCTGTGGTTGGCAGTTCTTACCGTGACATAGGGAACTGAAATGTTGCCTCTGATCACTGTTAATAGGGATTAGCCCAACTGTCCACAGCACAGTAGCTTTTGTACTTCTTCTCATTAAGCATACTGGTTTTGCTTTGGATAGCTTTCCATAATGCAGAAAAAATAATGATGTGCTTCTCTTTGATTACATGTAGGGAAGCGAATGCAATTTTGACGGAAATGTGCTAGACCATCTTTAATTACTATTCTGATTCATGCCAGAGAACACTTTCCAGTTGGGTTTGGTGTTATTCAGGAACAATGACTGCACTAAGAGTGATACTTTGCTTCTAACATAAATATTACATGCATTTACACACTGAAATAGCTGATCAAGAACTTTTTAATAGCTGTATGTAAATTCAGATCCTTTAGTTTGTTACTGAATAGTATTAAAAGCATCACATGTTGTTACTAGAAGACTACGACATTCTGGATGTGCATTCAATCTGTACGTTTATAGAGCAATAATTAGCACTGATTCCTAGTTAGCCTTTGTCATAGCTGTTATCAAAGGTATCAAAGGTTTGTACCAATTTGCATCCAATTTGAGTAGTGGTTTCTTTGTATAAGCCTTCATTTAAAGCCCACACTTCATAGTAAGGCTAATTTGGTTGGGAATAATCCTGCTGTGAAACAAGCTGGCCTAGACCATAAAAAGGCAATAACAACAAATTTGTACTTATAGTGATGAAGATGACATAACACACACCATCTACCTGCTGCCAAGTGACTTGAAAACATATGCTAATAACATAATATAGATTGAATGATAGTAGAGCTTCTGTTGATACTAGATTCTAGTCCAGTCAGAATTGATCAAATAAGATGAGGCCAATGAGCTGGAAAATCTTGGGTGAAATAAGTAATAGGCAAGACAAGAGAGAAGTGACAAATTTACATGCTTGTTTGAAAATTAGCGTGGTCTTACATGTGAGGCTTGGCTCAGCATCAAGCTCTGGTCTGAGCAGTGGAGCGTAATCCTTAAAGCATGACTCACGCCATTGCCTTCATTTGTAATTTCCGACAGTGACCCAGCATTTTGCTATCATCGCCTTCATTTCAGAGCACTGCCAAACCCAATTTGGAGCCCTTTTTGTCACCAGGGTATCTTTCAACAGGAGGCCATACACAGCAGATCCCTCTAACGAGCACAGGATGGAAGAAGAGCTGATCTGTGTGTGTGTGAAAAAAGGGAAAGGTTCTGGTGTACCATCTTCAATCCTATTTGCAACCACTGATTACCCTTCTTTATTTAGCCAGAGTGAATACACTCCCTGCCTTCATTATCATTTGATGGGCGAAAGTACCAGGCATACATGCACTAAATTTTACTCAGCTCTTCAGCTCTCCTTTTTAGGAGTCTCTAATTATTTTTATTTTAATATAATCTTATATATTATGGAGAGTCTTATGAAACAAGATTGTGAAGTAACCTCAGCTGTCTAACCACACCTAGAACATTCTGGCATTCTTAACATTCTTGGTCCTCCTGGAATTCAATAGTGAATGGGCTTGGCACCTTATTATCTCTATACCATTAGCTTGGATCATGCATGAATCTTGAAGGATATCTAATCCAAACCAGATTTAAGACTACCTTTTTTTCATATTCCAAATGTTTTGCTTGAGAATCTATTTTAGTGGCAGGAAAAAAGTTCTTCAATCCTCATTTTCTATCCCTGATTTTTGTAAGGTTTGCGTTTAAAGGTAGTGGTTTAGACACTACTGAAAACCATAGTCTTGGATGTTTCTACTCAAGATGAAACTGGCAACCACAGAGGCATTAACTACATGTTGGTCATTTTAATGATCTGAATGAGAAGCCCAGAAGGTGTGTAACTAACTCTGAATACGAGTAAGTTTCCCCCTGTAAATATTAACATAATTTCGCCAATTCTAAATGTGAAATTATGTACTTGACCAGAATATGAGGAATGTAAATGTTGTTGTTGTTCTTTCGGCTGCTCCCGTTATGGGGTCACCACAGCGGATCATTGGTCCGCATGTTTGATTTGGCACAGGTTTTCACCGGATGCCCTTCCTGATGCAACCCTCCCATTTTATCCGGGCTTGGGAGTACACCCCAGTGGCTGGGTTGGTTCCCTGCCTGGGAATCAAACCCGGGCCGTGGCGGTGAGAGTGCGGGATCCTTAGCCACTAGAACACCAGGGAATGTAAAGATTATGTTTTGTTTATTGACATTACTAAATTCTCCCTTGTCATATTTTTAGAAGAAATGAAGTTACATATTTTGTAGTAGACCTTATGCAATGTGAAATCATTATCTGGTAGTGGCACTGAACTAGTGCAAAAAGGTTCTTTGCTCAAGAGCCACAGTGTGTTAAGCATTTGAAGGGAAGTGAAGAGAAAGGTATTAAATAGTGGTTTACAGCAGGTGGGCCACCAAACATGCCTCCACAACCAGAGCCATCTGCTTTTAACTCCAACTGTTTACTCAAAGTCTACCAGAGGGGACAACTGTCTCCGTCCTCTGCATGCTCCGCTAGAGCTCTTTCAAAGCTTGTCAGATTAAGTAAAGACGACAAAACCCTCCCAGGATGTATTCTATTGTCACTTTTCTGTCTACATAGAACTGATGCTTCTACTTTAATGAAAATTAAGTACAGACACAGCAGGCACAATAATATTAATGCAGCGACTCGACATGCATACTGTATTTGTCAATCCAAGAAGGCATTTGGAGACACATGGCTCTTATTAGTGAGCAGAAACGATTGCGCTGACTCCCTAAAGTGAGCCAAAATTCACATCCCTGCAGGAAAACTGTAGCAAATTATCCAAGGATTGCTCAGAAACTCCCACATTTACGAAAAAAGGTGGAGCTCATAGGAGATTTTAAAAATGCTGCTAGGTGCTTTTCCTTGTAATGTGAAACAAATGGTCTCACTTTCAAAAACATAATCATCTGATTAATTTTATGTGTATTTGTGATAATGCATCCAATATGTAACTCATGGGTGTATTAAGCTTGAATGCTCACAATGAAATAGACAGCAAGAAAATATTTCAGTGATTATATCTGTTTCTCCTGAGAGTCTATTTCCAGAGTCATACACAGGGTAAATACTGTAAAACTGATAGCTGTCTGGAAATATGTATGTGGCAGAGATTGCCTGGCTGACTGGGACACACATAGCTAGAAAATGTTTTCACAATCATTATGAGACAGGATGCTTTCTGAGAAGACCAGCTGAGACGGAGGAAAAAAAACACAACACTAACAACCTCCAACAGCTTCCAAGATGTGTGTGTTTCCCATCATGTTTACTGTGAAAGCTGATTTAATAGTGCCAAAACACTCAAATGAGAGTTAAAACACTGAGAGTTACGTAACAATGTTCTGGAAAAATAACCACTTAATTATTTGTGTGTGTGTGTGTGTGTGTGTGTGTGTGTGTGTGTGTGTGTGTGTGCACGTTTGTTTCAAAGTGGTTAGAGGGACAGGCCAACCTCAAAAGATAGAGTAGGGAGAAATATTTCTGCTTCTGCAATGTCATTTAGTGTCTGAACCTTAAGTAGACCACATAAGCAAATGTAGCCTGCAGGTTCCACTGTCCCTGTTTCTAAACAGAGCACACATGATACCCCTCAGCTCACATCTACCCATCACTCCTCCCATTACAGCGAAGGAAAACAAGCAGGGAGCTAACATCCTTCCTACTTCCCAGTAAGATGTGACAGAGTGGAATCCTTGTCCAGCTGCCAAACATTAAAACACTAGACTTTTTATAATTTAAATTCAACAGATCGAGAAGGAGTTAAACAGCACTGAGTGTCTTCTGGTTTCCAGCCTCCATATGTGCTTAGGTATGTGCATGTGGGCTTTCCTCTTTCATTTAGAACACAGTGTCATAAATAAGACTCAAATCTAGAGGTTCTTATATGGATGATTATTGGTATAAGAAAGTAGGTATTTTTTTAGTTCTTGTAATTCTGGAGAAAATCAAACTGCAGACAGTAAAAGCAAGAGGTGGCAGCTGGTGAGCTGGATCCAGTGCTGGCAATGGTTTTAAATTCCTCTGAGCAGCAGCTTCCTGTTTTCTACTCCTCTTCCTCTTCTTTTTTTTTGCTTTCGAAATGCAAAGCTTTCAGCAAAGTCTGCTTTCACTTCAAGGACACTGGGATTTTCCACGTAGTGTCACATCACTTTGCCTATCAATAGGGTTCAGGAGGGTGTGGTGGACAGAGCACACAACTTTTAGGGGAAATGACCATCAAGAGGATATCTTGTTTCTGTGGCAGGCCTGATAAGGGCCAGGATACTGTGAAACACTGTTTTCTATGATCATTAAGTCTTTTAGTAGAATTTACATTCAGATATTTTATTCATAATGCTTAGTATCAATGGCCGAATAGAACTTACCACCAAACCAGAACTTGCCACCCAAGCTGGTATTTATTTTAAATGCTTTATTTTCCCATTGAAAAAGCCCAGAAATCAATGTCAGCTCTAGCTTAATAACAGTGTGGTATACAGTATTACTCAGGGGTCGATAAATCACTAGTTACCATGTACCAGGACAAGCAGATTATGTATCCAGGCTATTAGTTTTTCATTCACAGTGCCCAATGGACAAGTGGGTTCATTAGGATGTTGATGTAATGGTTGCAAGCCTGTTTTTTTTTTTATTTCACTCGTCTAACAACCAAAGAAAGAAAACCTCTACCACCTATTGACTTTGTATTCTTATTTCTCAGTGTAGAAAATGACCTTGATGTGGTGCACAATACACTTTCTGAATCTCGCAACCTGCTGCACAACACGCCTGAACCAAGGACATAGACTGGCTCTCAGTAGGAACTGTTCACTATTCACTATTGCTTCACTATTGATTAGCTTGAACGGATGCTAAACAATTTTTCCAGAAACAGTGACAAAAATGAGCAGTGCAGCACAAAAACGATCATGCTAGAACATCACACAGTCACCTCACAATTAAACACTTCATTGAGAGTAAATGAAAACACCAGCCAGACTCCATTAACAGCTTCATGTGTGATGAGAGAACTTCAGACCTCATAGCTGAAATGTTAGCTAAAGACTTTCTAGCTTTTTGTCAAGGGCGCAAACATGATGCTTCATCACAAGACACATTATCAGAAGAGGATAAAGACTGGCTACGTAAAGTTGAAATGAATTTATGATTTACACACACCTGCTTCTAATACAGTTCTGGTACTGTGGTGTTGTTGCACTGTTGTTTTGCCTGGTAGTTTTTATTGTTGCCATCCTAACCACTGGCCTGGAACGTTCCTGATTGCGGATTTAAACTATTAAGCTGCCCCTTCAACATTCGTCTTTGTTCACTGACGGAACATTCGTCTTTGTTCACTGACGGTTCTTTGGGTTTGTTAGCACCAGCAGGCCATTAAACACTAACCTATAATTGCTGCTTTCTCTATGTCCTTTCAGGTTTCAGGTTTGCATGCAGTATCAATTAACTCGTGGCTGAAGGAAAAGTGCAAGTCAAATGCTTTCAATTCAAGGCAAGAGAATCTTTTTAAACTGCACACTAAGTGTACATAGGCATGAAATGTTGCAAATCCATGTTTGAAAATGTATAGAACACACACTTCATATATCCTGGTATGACATGCTGGGCAAGTTAGAGATTAACCGAACAATGCATATACAAAATCAACAGACTGGAATAGTATGGCATAGTAAGACACTTTTAACACTGTTCCTGCAGATGACACTGCAAAGACAAATAAGTCATATTTACACATCAGACCTTGTAATGAGACACTACATTTAGGCATCCCATCAACTAGTTCTAAACAAGGACATGCTTATCTGGGACAAGGTAAGATCACCGAGGTGTTGATATCACATAAGATCAGCATTATCAGTTACAATTCAATACGATGTAGTCTGCCATGTGCTGAAAGCAGAATATCCTGCAAGCATCACTCTGCACTCATGCACACTAAAAGCATTAAATATGCAGTAAGCAATTATATGCATAAAATCTGAACAGAAATATGAAAGGTACAGTAGAGTAAGCAGGGGCGTGGCCATGTCTGTGGCACAGGGTGGCAGCTGTCACCCTTTAAATAAGTCTTGCCACTCCACCTCGGACCTAAAAGAGGTCTATCACTCCTGTATAGTTCCGGCTGAATTAATTCTAGCTCATGTTGTTGTAACTGTAGGTAATGAACAAATTCCTTGATAATTAGGAATAATATATCAATTATGAAGCCTATACAGTAATGTCATAATGTGGTGCATCAGGAAATGCAAATGCAGCTATGCATTGTCTTATACATAATTAGGTGTCTAAACCCATATTTATATACATACGCACACACACACACACACATACACACACACACATATATATATAAATATATGGAATTAGACACCTAATTATGTATAAGACAATTCATAGCTGAATGCAGAATGAATATATATATATATACACACACACACACGCACACACACAGTCTATTAAATGTGTGCATAGCTTCAGACTGTGCATATACAGATGAAATGGGTTTTGCACAGCAATGCATTAACTTCTGAGAGGTTAAGAATAAGAAGTTGAATTGTATGATCAATACTTCAGGTCACACTGACATGCTGCAAAGAAGAAAGCTCTGCAGTCACGTCCAAACACTGTCGTCTTTCAAGAAAACAGCGTCTAAGCAACAATTAATCGAAGAATGAATCGAATCGTCGACAGCACACTCATCGGAAAGGAGCAGACGCGTCTACTGAAACGTTTCTGCTACAGAAGATAAAAGCGCTTTTCACAGAAGCGGCTTTGCCCTTCACCGGAGTAAGGAAGCGTGTAATGCTCGGGATGTTACCCGTTACCTCTGAACAGCGCGCGGCATCGAGTGTTGCTCCTCCACTTCCTCAAATAACAGGATCCGTTCTCGGACGGAAACTGCGCAACGCCTTGGACTCGCCTCGCACGTGAGCAGTCTGAATGAAGAGTACAAGTGAGAAATAGGACGCGTGCATCAGCAGCAGGAGCAGCTCGTCTGAACGCAGAGACACGGAACGTTCCGCGCGCACAGCTCCCTCCTCGCTCGCGCCCTGTTTCGTCTGCCCCGCGCGCGCGCCCCAATGAATAATGAATGCGCTTCGGTGCGCGCGAGGCTTCTGCTCTGTTCTAGAGCAGCGCGCGGGCGGCCTCGCGCTC